CAGATATCAACATTAATATCAGTATATGTCTTTATGCATAATTTTGTCCCCCATGCTGGATATTTTATTAGTAAATTCACATTTCCGTGTTCCAACAATAACAAGTGTTTTAAATCACAACAACACGGTTAATAAGAAAGCTCATTTTACCATTCCAAGTATTATTATTTATTATTGTGCTTCATTACACTGTTTCGCCTCAGCTCAGAGGTTTAAATGTAAACAGTTTGCTGTCAATGTTTGCATGTTGCTACAGCATTTTCACTGACATATTTCAGTGAGGATGTCAGTAACATTAGCAAAAAAGCTTCTGCTGTAAAGAAAATAAACGTGTTTTCTTTTTAATTCACAGATATGTACTTAGTCTCAGTTATGTCTGTTATGTTATGGCTTGTCAATATCAAGGGTGTCTGTGACAATACAATGGCAGGAAAATCATTTAAGGCTGAATTTTCTACACAAACAGGTGATAAAAATGAAACAGAAAGGGAAAGCAATCAATCCCCTTTTTTTCACATGCAAAGGATGAAGTTAAACTGAGGAATGAGGATGTTTCTCCATCAAACAAATCATTAGATGACTAAAGGTTTTGTTGATAAACATTTTGACATAAACTAAACCTTTTACTAAGTGCTGCACATATTAGATGCCCGTGTTTGTTAGGTAGATAGTAATACAAATAAAAATGAAAAATAAAAATGCTGTACAGAAACTTGGCAAATAATTCTAATGAGAGCAGATGATCCTGGATAGGAAATAGGAGACTTTGAAGGATACTGCACATCTACATTGCACAGTAAACTCTCCATATCAATACATATCAATGTATATCAATGAAAGAGGCCTATACTATACTATATAAATGTATATCAATGAAAGAGGCCTGTACTATTCTATAAAAAGAGACTTTAAAGGCTTAATAAAACAGTCATGCATGTTTTATAAATTACTTTGGAATTGTCTAGTATGATGCATGCTTTGTATCAAATATGAACTTCAAATTTATAAAACTGCTTAATGTAAATTAGCATATTTACCGATTGAATGATGAAATTCCGCTGGGCTTTGTTGCGTTGCTAACCTTGTTCTAAATTCTAACTCAGAGTTATCATTTCATATTTGTCCTGGATGTTTTTCTCCTCCTGTTTTTCAGGCTCGGTGTGGTGCAACTCAATAAAGAGGAAGTATATGCCCGCCCCCACAGCGCCGCCTACCATAGGCCCCGCCACAGGGATCCACCACCAGCAACCCCCAGCTCTGCAGAGATAATACATACACAGCAAAAGACAATTACTAAACATCAAACGCACTAAACACAACATAAACCATGTCACACACGGAAAGATCTCCAATCGAGTAGAGGGTTAAACATACTTGTTGCTGATGATAGAACACCATATCCTTTTAACTTAGGTTAGGTAGGCAGCTAAGAAACCATGTTTCAATTACATTCAGGATTTCTCTTTTTCTTATCGTAATTTGCAGGAGAAATTGGTTTTGCCCTCCTTATAAAACCATAGAATGGATGTTAGAGTAGTTTTTCTTTGTAATGTCATTTCTTGCACTTAACTGCTTCTTTATCATTTATTTTTAGCATCAGAATCTGATATTGTGTATTAATTATATTCAGTATTACTAGATACCACACATTTTTATGTGAATTTCAACTGTACTTTTGATGACCTTTATTATAACAAACTTTGTTGTATGTTATTGCATTACATACCATGAGGTATATAACATTTTTGTGACATATATATTTTTAAAACCAATCATATACTTTGGAGTTTCGTGATTAAACTAAACAAAAAAATTGAAGACCCCTGGTTTAAATTTAGTGTATTTTTTTTGTCTTTTTTTCCACGAGTAATATGAGAAGATTGATAACTCTCATCAACTCAGTCGGCACATATTTAAAGTTAAAGCGAGTAGCCTGTTAGCTTAGCTTACCACAGAGACGGCAGTACATGAAATACATTGTTTGTTTAATCAGCCAAAGCATAAAAATACAGTACACTTTTTTTTCTTGAAACAAAAACTTCCTGGAGTCTCTGGTCTTTGTGTTTTCGCTAAACTAAGCTAACTAACAACTTTATATTTAGCGTATTGAGTACAAGCAGTACCCATTTGAAAGAAATAAAGTATGTGATCTCCCCAATTTGTGAGTTTATGTTAGTATCATCCCACCAGAGGTGAGTTGTATCCAGTTATCCCAGATTACAGTAGTTTTAAGGAGCTCCGTGTGTTAGACCAGTTGCATGCGTCCTCTTTTCTCTGACCGACCTCACACAGATCCAGAGGGAGATTAGAGTCCTGCAGGTCAATGTGGCTGTTTGGAGCCTTTACTGCAAGTTAACAGGTCTGATACAGGCCTGAAAGTAAACAAGCGCCTCAGTAGGTCAGCTTTCTCTTCTGTAGGCACTCAGGAAGTAGACCAGCCAAGGGAAGTGGATAGATTATAGACTTTAATCCTTGGTCACCGCTAAGATGATCAAGCCAGGAGACAGTGGGTCACATTGACAATGCACGTAGCCAAGTGGACAATGCACGTAGCCAAGTGGACAATGCACGTAGCCAAGTGCCAAACTCCAATTGACTTGAGTGCATTCGTTGCCGCTAAATTTATGCCATGAATGTAAAATATTATTGAGATTCAGCACACACTCATATGATAGCATCAAAGGCTGACATATGCATTGAAGAAATACTGTATGTATCGTGTAGGATCATAGCATACAGACTCTCCTGTTGTGACTCATTTAGTTTGCATGCATGACATTACAGTGCTACTTCTGTCATGGGATGTTATGGCTATTTGTTTTGTTAAATTGCAATTACAATGGGTGTATCCAGTTGTCTCTAAGTGATAAACTATATACATTTGCATAACTTGTCATTTCAAAAAGCATATATAAGCAAAGCATATGTTTGATGGAATCAAATCAGTGCGTGTGTACAATGAGGATTTAGGAAGGAAGACGCTTAAGGATCTCGGGAAGAATAAGAAGAAGCAGAAGAAGAAAAGAAAATTGTGTTATTTGTGTTCAATGAATGAAGCATTGAATATTTCATTTGTGAATATATTCTCTCCCAATTCACTTATACTGCAGAACCCTTCTTCAAAATGCAGGAAATACAATGAAATATTCATTAAAATTGTCGGCGGAGACAGAGCTACAAATGCGGCTCTTCGTGGTGGATAGAAAAGAGAAGCCAACTGCTTGAACTCAGTTTCTTACGTAACGCATGAAGCACGTCTCAGGCAGTGGAGAGAGAGCAGTAGTGAATAATGGACCCCTAGTTCTCTCACACTGGCAACAACAAAACTGGCTTTCATCTTTCTGACAATAATATCAACATTGCCCTGCTGGATGTTAGAGAACTTTTAAATGTTTCGTTCATATATTCTTTTATACTATTTTTACCTCTTTGTATACTTTTTCCTGCTGTAAATTTACCTGAATACGTCCACCCCCCAGCCAGCCACGGCCGTGAAGAACCGCGGGCCGAGGTCTCGCGCCGGGTTTATTGGATAGCCGCAGTTCAGACCCATGGACACACCGATGGCCATGATGATCAGGCCAATGCACAGAGGCTCCATCCCTTTTGGAGCACCGATATTCCTCTTGTCAGTAATGGCCAGGATGCACAGGATCAGTGCTGCGGTCGCAATTACCTTCGAAAACACAAGCATCAGAAAATAAGCACACGTAGTAACACAAGTAAACTGAAAATAAGCCATCACTACAAATAAGAGAGCATAGCAAATTAGGCGTATTAGTGTTGTTGTTGTTGTTGTTGTTTTTGAGTTGGCTCAGTGACCTCTGCCCTATCTTATTTTGTATAAGCTTATTAAGGGGCTTCCCCTTTCCCCTGGTTTCAGTCGGTGTTAGGCAGCTTTACTACACAGCCCATATGGCTCTATCATTTGCATTAACATGTTATGTAAAAATGTTTATTTTGTTTAATTTGACAGATTGTAATCAGACCATCTACATGCACATGCTCCGTGATCCAAATGCCCAATCAAACGCTGCCGTCTTTGTTATGGTGTAGCAGCTGTGATTTAAATCACGGCTTTATCAGAATACATTCAGTTGATCTAATACACAACCTCTTATAAATGTGAATGCAGCTCGAATATATATGATCGGGAGAAAAATACTAATTAGCGCTTGCGTTCACAAATACACAAACTAGGATTTGCATCCCTCCTCGTACACATCCACAACAGATGGTAGCCATCTATTCTCGCCATCGAAGCTGAATTTTTCATACATCAGCAAACAACCCTCACGTGCATGATTACAGTCATCCATGACTGCACTGACTGCACGCTCACATGCATCTCTGTACGCTCCAGTGGCTTCCATTTACACAGAATCCTGATGGGAAACTTTATAGACAACATCAATTCAGAACAAAAAAGGAGCAAAACTTTTTTTTTTTCTTTTCATATCCACATTTTTATAAGTTGCAAGTTAGTCTGAACCCCCACCTGGTCAACAAACCCATTAAGGATTGAGAGGTGTTTTGATGGATAAGATGCAAATATGTTAGCCGTGGCATTTGCACCGGTAACAGTGAATTCTCCATTGGTGTATTCCATCAAAGCATCTGGAAAAGAAAATACAACAGATATAAGCATTTTTTAAACAAACTCCTCTGATAATTCTGTGTTATTAGTCTTAAGTCAGACATGAAAATAGTATTTAGATAAATTATTTACAGTACTATAATGTCTCCAGTCTTTTATTGCATGAAGCAGGATAGTAATGTAGCTACATTACCTCACCTCAGACAATGTTTGACACTTGATTGGACTGAACCTAAAAGAGGATTTCCTCTATAAGGTTACCTGGATATCTTAGGATAATCCTTCCTGACACAGTTCTCTTGTAGTGATGACATTTAAACATTTACACCCACCATAATACAACCCATAGACAGCACAGGATCCAGCAAAAGCCCCGAGGAATTGTGCCACCACATAGACAGGGAACTTCTTTAGAGGAAGCTTCCCCAGGATCACCATGGCCAGAGAGACTGCAGGGTTCACATGGGCTCCTGGAATGATGCAACAACAGAATAGATGAGCAAAATCCAGTCGCCTCAACAGAAATAATCCAAAAACCAGAGATGTTGTCTTTTTTATTCCTCACATCTTGCTGGTCAAAACTCGGTACCTAGATTTTCCCCCAATGCAACTCCACCGCTAACGGTTAGGGGAGAGATACAGCCATTTTATTTCAGTAGCAGATAATTAGCTTTGAGCTGGTAAACATGCTGCTTCCTAACCTCACCCCCCAATTCCTTTACATTTTAAAACTTGTAACCACCAAATCAAATGAGGCTGTGTTTACTAGATTTTAAACATCCTAATTTAACATACGCAGCATTACTCCCATAGACTTTTGACCCTTTGTGTAAAATCTTCTTTGAATAATGACTCATTATCTAAATAGCTTTAGCAAAGCCTTTTCAGCCTTTTCTTGGGTCTTCTCTGACACCGCATTGTGTAAACTGAGTTCAGTGGATTAAAACCGAAGCTGTCTGATCATTTAGTGCCGGTGGTCAAACCCTCTAGAGCTCACTCATTCACCACATTCGGGACATTTTCAAACAAAGAGCTCTCGGTTCGTGTGGCATCAAAGTGGTCCTGTTTTCATATACTCTATATTATCTTCAAGAGGGGCGTTTGAACACAGTTCAGTCAAATGTTACTGGGCTGTGATGACAGTGTGGGGTCGTTTATTTAACACTCTGGGATCTTGGCTTTGACCCCACTGTGGCAACACCACTGGGGGTATCAGCCATGCGCCCATTGTTAATCTCCCCATTCTGTTCACAACCACTGACCAAGACAACCAGCCAGACCGGCCTGCCTGAATTGCATCTGACATAATCTGCCTGAATCTGCTTAAGGCGCACGTAGACCGCGGGTCACTAGAGTGACCATGACGTGTCACACTTTCGGTACACTGTCGTCTAAAATCTCAGACTACAAAGTGAAAACGATTGTGTTTTCATCTCGCATTGGGCCGTCCTGCCGGGGAAGCCTGGTGAGCCGGGCTTGTCACACCTGACCCCCCTCTCTCCGGAGACCCATGGCCCAGTAAAGCTCATTAGTCCAATACCTATGATCATCTTCAGAGATGTCGTTGGACAGAAGCTTCCCACTGCGCTGTGAACCCCGGGGCTGAATGGCCCAGTCATGCAGCAAAAGCTCTCCATATATTAACCTCCGTGTCCCCAGGCTTTTCTGCTTCTCCTCTGAAGCTGTGCAACTCTTCTCATTAAACACGTAGCATGAGTGCAGTCAGGACGACCAACAACAACAGCCATCATTAATTATATGGAGATGAAAATATAGTCTCACTCCGATTTTTTCCATTCTCAATTTTTTTTTCTCCAATTTCTCGATCAATAATATTACATTTCTATAGATGTACGATAAAAAATGGAATAGAACTAAAACATATGACACTGATACAAGAATACAACGCATTTTTAAAATTTTAGAGTAAAAGTTGAATACATTTTTAATAAGTTTGAATGTAGATATTGTTATATATTGTGTGTTACTGATCAGTGTTATAATGCTGGTATTAGCATCTTAGGGGTTCACTTAGTGGTTCATTATTCATGCTAACTAACTGTCTGCTTATTGTCTGCTGTTTACGTCATATTTAATTGACAGATTTGACACATTGCATGTATTTCACACTTTCTCTTACCAACAGTATATAAAAAAAGACCACACAGACTATAAGACCTTGATTGTTGATGAATTGACATACCAGCCAAAGAGAAGCACTGTGACATTTGACAACTATCAGTCCCTCTCCTTGTTGGCAACACACACAGGGCTCTTCTTGCTGTAATCCTGGAGGAATGTACCTGAAAAAGTCAAATTCGGACCCCAGGACACAATATCTCCAGAGCTTAAGCCCACTGACTCTGCTCTTACACTGAAAATCCTCCCATTAGAGATGGTGGAAAAGTTTACTCAACAGAAAAAAAATCACCCAATGTGTATCAGTAAGTATTGACTTCCAGACCAGAGAAGAAAAGAGTGTGTGTTAAATTTGCTCCATTATATAACACTGTGAGTTCATAACAAAGGTCCATTGTCTGCATAAACCATTACTTTATCTGGATCAGTGGGCAGTTATATAAATTATAATGGTGCTGCGTGAGCAAAGAGACCGTCAGACGTCCATGGACAAAGATCACATCTCCACCACATGAAAACACCTGCTGATGCCTTTTGTAACCAGCCTGTTTGTTTCCTTCTGCAGGCCAAACCTCCAATACCTGAATTGATCTGACGCAATAAGTCACTCAATTATCTTAATTATTTTTTTATTTTTATAAAGAAATGTAGCTTCTTAACTATAAAAATGTTTCCCCCTCTGCAACTTTAAGCGGTGGAACGTGCCGCCACTTGCTTTTGGAAACTTGCATTTTTGTACTATTTTCTGGAAATTATTGATAGATAAATCAATGAATCCTCAGACAAATGTATAAGGGAACTGATTAGCTACCAGCGTTGAGGATTATTTCGAGTTGTTGTGAATGTGAAACGTGCTTGTGTCCATGTGGGTCCTTTTACCTGACACTCCCCCTGCCACGTAGACGGCCATCATGACTCCCAGAGTAAAACCAATGTGGATGGTCAAGGGCTCCCCGAGAGCCCCTTTACTCAGCACCGTCTGGGCCACTGAACCACATCCAAAGAGCTGGGACACAGACAAGAACAAAAACACAAAAGGGTGGAGGTAGGAAGGCTCCCTGTTTTTAATTATTCCAATTATAACCGTCGGTAACACTGGCACTCTTGTCCACCAACAGCCTCAGACTGCCACAAACAATTTGCCTTTTCTTGGAGCCTCGAAAAAAAATGAATGAATCCCCCCCATGTATTAGGTCAAAGGCAGAAGTAATTCAGACAAAGAGAAAGTGTTGGGAGGAGAACAGTTGTCCTTTAATTAAAAGGGCTGTTGAGGAAGCTACATCACTTGGGGACAACGTGGAATCAGAGAGGAGACGGGTTGAGTCAGTGGTGGAGGCGAGGACAGTCCAGACTTTACCATAAACACTGAGGAATAATCAGGAAACAAACGTTTTACCTTTTGCTCATTTAATCATGTAGTATAATTTAATCATCGCAAAGTTTTTTGCATATCCTCATAACTAAGACACAATGACGTATTACGGGGATAATGACTCATATTTTAGATAGATGGTAGATAATTGTACTTTTGGAGGAGATGTGGGGAAGAAAAACAGTCCCACATCAGTCACATCTTGTTATGATTGCCAGGAGCAAATTACAGCTGCAGCACATCAAAGAGAAAGTCTGTTATTCCCATAATATACTATGTGTTAATAGAGACATACAAGAGACAGCAGTCCCCGGGGACACAGTTTGACACCTTATTAGCATGCTGGTTCAAAGCTTTAAAGTGGCTGTTTAAGCTGGATGACAGGTGCAGAGGGAGGTACTCACTATCAGGACAAATATCCCCAGAAATTCTGCCAGGAACTCCTTAAAGATGTCCTGCCTCAGGCCAAATCTCTCCTTCATCTTCCTCTTGCTCTCATCTTCCATTTTTTCCCCCCACTGCCGCTGCTTGAAGTCCTCCCCCGATCAGGACAAACAGATAAACACTGTGAGGGAGTCAGTGCGCGGTGGTCGGTGCCGCCTCCTCCTCGGGCCGTGCAGGTTGACAGGCGCGCTAAGCTTTTTACATCTAGTTCCCTTTCCAACCACAAGGGGTCTACTTTGGATTAGAGAAACAAAGAGCCCAGATTGTTTACCTGGCATCCACAGCAATTACGGAGAGTATTAAGCCTGTGTTTTAACTGACATTACTATACATTGGAAAGTCCTTGGCAATGAAACTACATCGGAGCCAGTGCAAAGTATATTTATGTAGATCACTAAGCTGATATCCGATATGAAATGTATAAGTACATTAAAATATAGGAAAACAACTCTCACGTCAGCTTGATGACTTAAAAGTCACCACAAGCTTTTAGCGGTGAGATCCTTCTTTTATTATTACACGTTGGCTGTTGAATGTGTACTCAAAATTATTTAGGTATGAAAAATATGAACTTGGCTGGGAACAAAAAAAACTTTCAATTTATATTTCAAAAAGATTTCCCTCAAATCACTTTAGAAATGTACGTGTTAGTTGTAGCTGCTATTACATCAATTGTGTTCTTTGGCTCACTCAGGTATTTAAAATCAAAAATCAAAATGAAAAAGAAATAAAATCCCAGCGTCTGTATAAATTGGCCGTCATGTGTTTTGCCCCTCGGCAATGTTTAGATTATGATGCTAAAATGTATTGCCGAATGCAAAAAGAAAAACTATACATTTCAAATTTTAAGTTTTGTCTGCCTGCTGTTGTTGTATGTATGTGGATATTTATAGTATGTGTGAGTATTTATAGAATGGCCTCCCGTATGTAGAAGTTACTGCACCAAGTGTCGTAGATGCGATACAAACCGACTGTAAAACGTGTAATAATACATCGTTTATGTGCGTATATCGACTCCGGTGTTTATTCGACCTCTTTAAAGATTTTTTACTGATCTCAAACTTACAATTCTTAAAAAACACACACACACATATTCACATATCACAATGGTGTCATATGTGACGCGCCAACAGAGGGCGCTCCACGAACACGTTTCACCCGCCGCCTCCCGGAGTTTGTCCCACGGGTGGATGCGTCTTATCTCCACTCCGCTGCGCTTTGTGAGGAGGTGAGGCGACAGGCCGCGGATGGGATGTTTTTCAATGCATTAATCAATGTCACGCTTTCAGACGCGTCCTCTTTGATGTGAAACAGACACGTTGAGAGTGTCGCCCATGCTGTGAAAAAAGGGCTGATGTGCTGATGGAGAAACAGCATCCTCCGGGAATTTGCAAATGACGGGCCTGCATCTGTCTCCGCACTCCTTTGTCCTGTCAGGGGGGCGTCCGATTATGAAATGTAGAACGTAAAGACCTTGCCGCTGATTGAGTATATATCAACAAACCCCAGCTTGTTTAAAAACGACATTGTTATTCCACTGACCACAGGTATTTTCCCCAAACTGCTGATTTGCCCTCGAACTGTTGCATTCGTGTGGGGGGTGGGGGGCCCAGCTTTGCTTCAATTCCTTTAGTTTCCTGAGACAAGATCGATAATTGGTGGATGTTTATTGGGAAGTTTAAAGGAGGTGCCGTAAGGAATTATCACCTGCAGGACAAATCTCTGGCAACAACACCCCAGCAAGTAGCAGCAGTCCCTCTGGTCCTCATTTACATAACATCTTAGACCGCGGGGAGGTTGTGTAAGGCAAATAAAGACCGCAGGGTGATAGCAAGTAACTTGACACCTCTGTGTCACTTAGGAAAGGAATGGTGCTGATGTAAGAATGTTGCCAAACACTTTTTTAGTACAAATAGTGATTTAGGTTTATATTGGGATAACGTCTTTGTTTACTCCATTCAAGGAATCACTTTCATCCTCGACTCTCTCACACTCTGGACATTTCAACATCTGCAGCTTCATGAGAGCAGATGCAGATCGTGTGACACCACATGCACGCTGGGACATTGTTTTACCAGAAAAACAGGCGTCATTAAAGCATCATGCTGCTGTGAGTTTGTGCAACTGTAATGCGTATTAAGAAGGGATCCAAATGTAAACCCATAACATGTCATTTGCACCCTCATTATCCAGTTCAGGCTGCACACAACTTGCAAACACAAACTATTTACCAGTTTATGGCGCAGCGCTTTTTGGTCTGTTGTTAAACTATGGCTTGCTTGAGAAAGCCGTCGTCTCATGGCTGGTAAAAGTGGTGCAAACAGATCAAGCCGGGCGTGCCGGGTGGGTGGGTGGAAGTGTTTCTCCTCCTCACGCACGCATGGCTGAGGTCCTTTATGTAAATGCGTGGCTTTAATTTCCAAAGGGAGGGCCCTTTTCTTTGCCCAATGAAAACGGACTGCGGCGGACACCTGGCTATAAACCCAGGAAGAAACCCAAAGTCCCGATCATAACTCTGTTGAGAACACACACACACACCCCCCCTACAGACACACGCACACACACACGCACACACAGACACACGCACACCCCCCACCGAGAGGCGCAGCAGGCAGACGAGTGGAGAGACGAGCCGCGATGACTTCCAGTAAGATCGAGATCCCCGGAGAGATGAAGAGCGACCCCGCTGCTCTCATGGCATCCCTCCAGCTGATGCCCTCGCCGGTGCCCGACCCGGAGATCAAGTACACCAAGGTCGGTTCCTCCGCTCCCGGACTCCGCTTCGAGGTGTCCGCTCGGGTTTTGCGTCTCGCGCTCGCTGGAAGTAAACTTCTGCTCTCGGCGGGTTTCGGAGCGCGCAGCTCACTCGGAGCTGGAGGCGAGAATAAAACCACTTCTCTGAACTTTTTCAAGGGTAAACTGGCGATTGTACGTTCTGAAGTTGCCGATGAGCGTCTTCTGCGTCCACGTGCTCCGTGTGTCTGAATTAAATGAGCAATAACTCCTGGACGTGATCATTTCAACCAAATAAGCCAAGAACCGGCTTATTTCAAACTCGCAGTACTCGACAAAAGCAGATTTTTCCATTTTAAACTTGGCGTTATCATGATGATTGATATTTGTAATTTGGTCCGTTGCAATTGCTACAAAATACAGCTTTTGGGAGACATGATAACGTTGTAATAAGACATTGTAAAAGTTTTAGCTTGCTTAGTAAGTGTCTTGGTGTATATAACACTGAGTTCGGGAGACTATTTTATTTTAATATATATCATATCTTTTTGTAATTAATCCACATTGCATCCTAAAACACATACTTATGTCATCCCATGTTAGTGCTTGAAACGGCACCCAATACAAATTTTTAAAAAACATTTGAAATAAATAATTGCAAAAATAATTGCAAAATTGAAAGATTAGAGGCAAATCTTTATCTTTATTTAAAATCTTTTATTATAATTCTAGTTTTGTTTTAAATCATTGTGTCGTATCAATGTGTGGTAATTTCCTTAATTAAATGTGTCTTTGCATACTCCTAGTGATAGATATCAGTGGCAAAGGAGGAAATTATTTTTGCCAGGTCTTAAAGTCTTTTCTTTCAAGCGAAGTCCAAATGTGATTGCTGTCATTTGAGATATAGTGTCATTATTGAGAGAAAGTTTGTGTAGTGAGTAAAAGTTTTAATCCAAAATGTACTTCGAAGAGGAATTGTGGTGTGTCAGAGTAGTTTCTTTGGATTGTCGTACAGTCAGAAGTGTGTGGGTGGGAGAAAGAGGATGGAGGAACAGCTGGAGAAAAGAGCTTGAGTCAGACAAAGAACTCGAGTCACGGAACAAATCATGTTGCAGATTAAAAAAACTATGCTTTCAGAGAGATTTTTATTTAAACATCTGGTTAGAATAGTATTTGGACTATATTGTATCGGTTAATTGCTTCAACATTTTGCCACCATGATGCAAATAAAACAGTACATACTGTCTTACATAACTGAACCAATCAGTAATCAGTAAAATCACAAATCCTTCTTGCTTTGAATGGGAGTCTTAACTCGCTATAAGTCATTAGCCAGAACACACATGTGGAAAATGGCACGCACATGTTTGATAACATCTCAGCTACGTCTTGATAGTTTTTTTTTCATAGATTCATAGATATGTACACATTTGAAGAAAATGTAGTTTAAAGATTCGCTGAGATGATTGTAATTTTTTTTTAAGTGTTCACAGGATTTAGCCTGCTGCAGTTGGGTTGCTGTTGAAAAGGGCTTTTAGCTGCAGAGCAAGTGTTTCCTAATTCCCGAGATTAAAGGGCACATCTCACAGAGGCCAGATCCACGATAGCGAGGTATAAGTTCAGTCACCGCTATAATTGCTCTGTGTTAACACATACCTCAGTGTTTTAAGTGCAAAGGGCGCGCTGCTGCTGCACCGTGAAGCCACGCGTAACCTCGCGGTGCAGCAGCAGCAGGCTCTGTTGTATTGTAAGCTTTTACGCCCACGTAGGCCAGCGTGTTAGTCAAAGGGTTTGGACAAAACAGTGTACAGGAGGACATTTAGGGAGCGACTTGGTGAATTAACCCCTTGGAATTTGGATCATCCAGTCCCTGTTGGCTTGGTGGACATAGGGGGCAGAAGTGGCCTGATTTATGGGAACCCCTGGCATGGGCTCCCCTCACACCCCGTTCCTGTTCTCCACCACCGACCGCAAGACGAATCAGGCAGCGCCGTTCAGTGGCCTAGAGGCCGAGTGGATGGAGGCGCAAGCTTCCAAACTGAGATTTCCTTTTCCTCGGAAAACATATTTACGCTGTTGCGTTAAACCATCTCCAACGTGAAGGCTATATTTAACTTTTCTTAAGTTGCTTCTTACTAACATCACTGTTATGCAATGCGAACGTTACATGTGATCCACTCTGGAGGTTTGAGCTTTAGGCTGATACACTATCACTGTTTAACTAGTTTTCTTCTATAACATGAGCATGTGATACTGCAGTCAAGGTCTGCCCCTTGTACTTTTCACAGAGTCATGAACTTCTCAGTGTCGGCGACACTCTGATAGTATCAGTCAGGGTATCTTCCTTTTTGTGCGGACGTAGATAGGATTGTAGTTGTGTTATTAATCCACACGTGTAAAAAGTGTAGTTTTCATACACCTTATACGTTAAAAGCTGGCGAAGCAGAGCTGTCTCTCGGTTGTATTGTCCCCTACCCCCACACTTCGCTAGAAGGCTGCAACAGCTGGGTTGCAAGACAGAAACAGTTTAAAGGTTGATAGCACCGCAAAGGAAGCCATAAATAAGAGCGCCATGATAGCTATTTATTGATGTTGTCCACTAGTGGTAGAAGTAGAGAAGAGTTTGTTATTAATAATTAAAGCAAACACAGAAACTTTTCTTGCTTTTTTAGTGGGTGATACTTCTGGCCCTTGTGGTTTTTCACACCGCTCACTGATGATGAGTTGTTAAACTGTTTAGTCAGAGACATTTTACAGGGGTGGTAAAACTTTTGCTTTTACTTTGAAGGAGCAGTCTGTTAAATGTTGTGTGTTGTGCGTAAGTAACATTGTTTTTCCCTCCACAAAAGTTAATGTTTTACCTACAAGAGTAGAAAAATGATTTTAAAGGTTATTTGTAGGTCCAGTTTGGTTTGACTTTTGCTTAATTAATAGGATAGTAACATGCACCATAGTGCTGCAGAAAGAAAAATGCATTTCATTCAGTGGCTGTATTTGTTGTCTGGGCTACAGATCTCTTAAACTAATAGATAGTTATACATACACACTTGTGTTGATTTTCTCATGGTGACATGAGCGCAATTTCACCATAGGAACCTGCCAAAGACCTGAGTATTTGTAAGGCCGTCTATGCAGAGACAACCACTCAATTCGGATGAATAAGAGGCTCCATCAATCTGTCACTGATTGAGATAGCACAGATGGAGGCTCGGGGCTCCCCGATGCTAGGTGCTGTCCACCAGGGTATAAATTATGACCCTGTCTCACTGTGTGGGTTAGTGGCCCTGGCTCGACAGAGCCTGACCTGCAGTTCTGGAGTTTTTCACTTCAAAAACCACCATCTTACTGCAATCAAGATCAAACAGAGCCCAGGTTAGGGGATACTGTGCAACTAAATGATTTATCACAACGAGCACAGTGAGAGCTCCCCCCCTTCTTCTCTGCCTTTGCTTATACAATCGGCCTGTTCGCACACACACACACACACACACACACACACACACACACACACACACACACATGGCCACATACTCTCTAAAACACATCTCTTTGATTGTGACAGGGTAAGTGTGCACTGTCATTAATATGTCCATTGGTGTGAAATGCCTACTTGTGCAGCGAGTGTAAATTATCATCTTAGCGGACACGTCAACATCATGTCCCCTGTCTCTTAATCACTGTTTAAGGAAGAGCAGTGACAGCGAGGTTGCCCTGTTAACTTCCCGTACCTTCAGTCTGCGGCCCTCTCGACAAGCAACGAGTAAATCCTCACGATGTCACTGTGAAAAGCACTCGGCTTCATAAATCTGCTGGAGCATCGGCTCTTTCTCCGCCAAGCACGGGACACAGTAGAGACAGAAGTGCTTTTCTAGATGTTTATTTGTCTGTGGAAAAGCCTCACATTTCTTAAAAAAGTACTTCCTCTCTCTTGGCTGATCCCACGAGTGGAACTACTGTTCTTTAAACACATCCTTGACCTGAGATTTAGAGGATTGGTTAAGTACACAGGAAACCCATCAAACCTCAGATGTTCCAAGGGGGGAAAACACTAGTAGTGAAAGGAGAGGTCAATTCCATCGTTGCCTCTTAGCAATTTGAACAAGTTTGATATATTTTGGGTGGTTTTATATATATTTAATATATATACACGTTATGGACATAACTTAATACAAACTTTAAACATTTATTGGACAAGAATCTGCCCAGAAATGTTGACAACATGATGTATTTAACCGTAAAAATGCAAAATATACTCTTCCTATAGGTTTTTAAAAGGTTTTAAAAGGAAATTAGGATCATATGAGCCTGAAAAACAGTTTTGTACTTTAGTGGAAAAGTCCCTCTAAGCACTTGCCCACACACAGCGATGGGACAAAGATGTCTGCCAGTCAGTGACAGCGAGGCCGCCCTCACCACACCAATGGGCGCAGGATGGCGTTGACTGCGGGTGTGTGGATGAAAAACACGAGTGTCAGACATTTGGAGAGGAGTAAAAGAAAAAACACCAGCTGGTCTCCACTTTCACATGCTCTCCACTAACTGGTAACAGTAGTATTTCTAAGAGTTTTGAAACGCATCCAGAGAGGAAATAGAGTTCCTGCGATATGGGAAGGATATGAAACTTCCTGCACAGACGAGTGTTGCGAGATCCCGGGAAGCTAGGACTCATCTGGCTGAGGAATCTTGGCGTGGTGTGTATAAACACGCACATACATAAACCCGAACATTAAAACTCCCTCTTTCCCGAAAATAAAAGTAGTAGCGTAACATATTGCTTTAGCCATTTGCATCTGAGTTGCGAGAAGAAGCAAAGAGCCAAACAGATGTTTAGTTGGCGGCGGAAAGTTCTTTGGCATTTCTTATATCCTATTCCAGTTGACTCAAAAAAAGTTGATTATTACCAAAAAATCACGCAACGTTTTGTCAACGTGAAAAAAAGACAGGAACATTCTGGTTGCCAGAAACAACAAATCTTGACTTTTTTCCCCCCGGCTGCACAAAACCTCCGTCAACGGATGGTGATGATTAAGACACCTACATTAAACGGCCAATTTAGCAAATGAAGAAAAACCGTTAGACGTGTTTTTGCATATCGCGTCTCATCTCTTCATTGTCCCCACGGCCCGGCTCTCCTGGTAGAAGTGATTGACAGCCTTTGCAGAAAAGCCTGGGAGTTGCTAAATGTTTGCAGCTGCGCTGTGGCCCATGCAGCAAGTCTTGACCTCTATGCTTACGGCTCAGCTCTAATCCACATCAGGCCTCCTCGTTATGCGTCAGGCATCACAGATCACAGATATAGATCACTAATGGCTTATTTTCATCAACGAAGCAGCACAAAATGTCTCAAAACTTTTCATTTTAAATTTGTGCATTTTAGGAGCAGAACATATTATCATATTACCTATAAATCATTTAAACACTTTTGGACACCAAGTCAATTCCTAGTAGTTAAATGTAGTCAACTAACACATAGAGGGATAGTAATGATCCCGCAGGGAATGGGAAAAAAATATTTATTTGTTATTTGAAGATGTGAACCTTTGCACTTGCTTTTTCATTGTTGTGTTCTTTGCCCTCCGCCCAAATGATCCTAAAAGCAATTTTAAGAAACCTCGAGAGTTGATTTACAACTGGGCCCTGTCATCTTAATCAAGTCTCTCAATGGAACGAGACAAAGGTCTAACACCAGTCCCGGCCCGGAGAGAGGGCCGAGCCAAACGGCAGCTGACATTTGTCCTTTTTTAGCTGTGATTTAGGTGGCGGCCCGCTCCCCTGTTCTGGTGCTTCATCCTTTCTCCTTTAGCAGCATCTTGTGAGAGGGGTTACGCCATGCATAAAGCTACCCACGGTCTGCATTCTTGCATGGACTGTTCAGGCTGTCAAGGGGCTCCTCTGATTTAGGGCGCCCAACTTCAGTGGCCCCTATAAATTTGAAAACTAATTCAGTGCTCTACAGGACTTTCTGTTTTTCTAGCTGGCCCTCTGCTCCTTATCATTACTGACAATTTTATGAAGTGCTCTTAATGAGAGTCAGATTAAAGGTGGCCTCTGATGCAAGGCGCCTGAGAACACTGCGCTGGTAGAGGGAAGCCTCTCCAGCCTTGTCTACATCTATCTGTGTGTGGGTGTGTGTGTTAAGGTTTGTGGGGGGATGGTGTGTGTGACCAGTACAACGGAAACGTAGAGGAATGAGCCTGTGACGTGTGGTTCTGTGGGGTGGTACACACAGATACGGAACACCTTAAACGTCTGCGTGTGAGGTATTCATACGCAAAGAGAGCGCATTATGAGCCCGTGAGCCGTGGGAATGAGGAGGAGGACGAGGAGTAGGAGGAGGAGGGAGGCAGAGCCATGTGTTTGCTGTGACTCTCATGCAGACTCCCTGGCATTTTATACCAACCCAAAAGTAAACACGGGTAACAGTTTACAGCCAATTAAATAGTGCTTAAAACCCAGCGTTTATGGAGAGTTTAGGGAGTGTGAGGCAAGTGGGATACGTGAACTCCTCTCTCAGGTCCATCTCAACTCCTTTAAAGTAAAAAGGACGGTAAGAGCATATGTATACATGGAGAGATTTGTGCCAGCAGATGTTCTTCCTACACTCTATCTATCAGGCAGACTGACAGCCATTAAAACAGTGTAAGAGTAGTCTGTCTAATGGATCTAAACATGTCAGCGAGGAAGGAGCTTTTTCTAACGACCCAGCTTACGTAATATATATTTGAAGATCTCAAATCACACCTAGCTTTTGTTCCACATTTCATCAGCGTGTAAATGGTCTGCTTGTATTTTATGAGGCACATTTCTCAGAGTTGTGCGTCTGAAAACATTTATTTTTCCTTTGGTCTTCGTAGATGTTAAATATGTCCTGTTTGGAATCCCAGGCGGTTGTTTAACGGAAGACCTGCTTTAACGCATCGCAGAAACCAAGCACGGCACGTGTTTTATGATCTCGTAAACGAGCAGCGATGTTGTGAAACGTGTGTCTGTGTGCTCGGGGTGGGTTGGGTGGGGGTCTGGTGTCTGATTGGGATTTATCTGCACCCCCAACAACACCCCCACGCCTTTGTCTGGATGGTGGAGTACTCCCCAGAGAGCAATGCAGGACAGGCAGGAATCTCTGTCCAGATTTCCAGAGATTCTCCCATATCCCTTACACAAGTGTGAGAGAGCTGCGACTAACTAAATAAATATTTAAAAAATGGAAGATAGTCATCCTCTACCATTCCGGTTGGTTTAGCAAATTGTATATATGAAGTCAATAAAGTTAGTTTGATTAAGGTTTTTGGTAATTAACTTGTACATTCTGCATTCAATTCATATAAAGGAAACTAAATGCATGAATTACCATTTAAATGATTAGTTGCAAATGCCAAAGAAAAAGAAAGCCTTTTTTTCTCCCTACAGATCTTTATCAACAATGAGTGGCACAACTCTGTTAGTGGGAAGGTCTTTCCTGCCCACAACCCGGCAACCGGAGAGCAGATCTGTGAGGTCCAGGAAGCAGACAAGGTAAATACATCGGCAGACCATCTTATTTTTTGAAAATAAGGTAAAACTTGCCCATTTTAAAGTATAATCCACCAAATTTACTTAATGTTTTAGAATAATTAATTTTGCATAATGGTCCCTGTCGGTGTTATAATATTATCGGATCATAATAATTCATATATTGACATTATCTCATAAATGATTCAGGTGCAGGCTACCATTATGAAAAGTGCAAAGCGACAACTGTTTGATGGATCAGTAAGTAATTAGTATGTATCTCGTTTCCTAGGCTGATGTTGATAAGGCTGTGCAGGCGGCTCGACTTGCCTTCTCTTTGGGCTCCGTGTGGCGAAGGATGGACGCGTCTGAGAGGGGTCGTCTGCTGTCCAAACTGGGCCGATCTGGTGGAGAGAGACAGTGTCTATTTAGCCGTATGTTACATTGTCTTGTCTCTGAGTGAATTAATATGAATAACGTTTCACTTGAAGAAGCCGTTATCAAAATGCATAGTAACAAAGTCCTTATTATCTGCTTGAGTGTCATCTTATTCATCTAATCATTCATAACAGAACTGCAACGGAGAGTAGAGAACATTATACATTTGTATTCGATATATAATTGTATATATTCGGCCCAACACTCTGAGTGCTTGAAAATTTGAATAACCTGGCTTTGGAGGAACATATAAAGTGTAACCTGGGAGCTGTATTTGTAGGTTAGTGTTATCTTAGTGTCACATTTCACCCACGGGAGAGTGTAAAGACTGGAACAGTATGGAATTATGTGAGGATCACAGGGTTATATCACATATTTCTCAAACGTCTCCCCCCATCTCTCCTCAGACTCTTGAGTCTCTGAACAGTGGGAAGCCCTTTCCTGCCCACCTTGTTTGTGGACCTCCAAGGAACCATAAAGACACTGAGATACTTTGCTGGATATGCAGACAAAATCCACGGCACTTCTATTCCTATGGGTGAGTCGCTCTACGAGTACCAATGTTTTAGTGAAGTGATCAGAGTGGTGTTGTTGCTGCTGGCTGGCTGATCAACTGAAACAATATCCACTATATTTTGTCTTCACTAAGATTTAAAATCCATGGTACAAAAATGACAATCAGATGTGTATTCATTTGAAATGAAGTGTGCATTCCGTACTGTATCCATACTGGTATTCTATTTGGTATGGCAAAAACACATTTTTGTATCTCCCAATGCTTTCAACTATATTTAGGAGCATGCAAGCCAGCATGCTTTTCTGTCAATTACCCACAGTCAGGTGGTGAATATATATATATATAGAGCCTCAAAATTCAAAATGATGCAAATTAAGACCCAGAAAAGTTTTTGAATTTTCTCGGAAAATTATTGACCAACTGCTCTGTGTTCAAACATGACACATACATTCAAACCTGCAATAGCTGATGTTGACCTATTGGGGGCACTGTAAACATGCTGTTAGCACCACACTGACATACAGTATGTTGATATCACAAACTTGGCAGGAAACAATTCCTTGTCAACACAACCAGCAGTTAAGGATCATCTTTAGTTTTTTTAGATGTGTTTCTGGTCAGCTGACCAAAGTAACTACATTATTCACTCTCTTTGAGCTCTCTTTTTGGTCTCTACCGACATGTAATGGAACTATGTGACTCTTGAGCTGCTAAATGCTCCACTATGTTGAGTAGCTGGTCGCTAACTGTGTCAGTGTCTACTGTCTGGCATCTTGAGGTAAAGAAAATGGTTTGTAGGAAAAGCTAATTTATACTCAATCAATCAATTCAAACGCTTCCATCAGTGTCCCCTCTCTAAGGCACTTGACTTCTGGGGGTTAGGAGAGGAGAAAGTTGGCTGTCTTAATAGCCGTAATCACCGTATTGAAGCTTCTATTGTACACTGCTGCCAAAACAACCGTGCTGAGCATTTTGCCAGGATTTGGTTTACGCTTTGATGCTCTTTTAGAGGAAACAAACAAGGGTATTCCTGTCGCTTGCATGATATAAGTCTGTTAGTGATTGTGTTTGTTCACATGTCAGGATAAAGTGCACGCCATTTCAACAACCCCTCAGCATTTAAGCATGTTAAGCTAATATTGTTGTGTGAAATGAAAGAGGAGTGACGTTATGTATAGAACCTTTGGCTTCACAGTTTAATATAGTTTACAGCGTTTTTGCCAAATTGAAATATACAGAAAGTAATCTTGCAGGAGTCACTGTTCCAAACAAACCGCACAGACACCTCCTGCAACTATATTCTGTTAAGTTTATGGTTTCATTCTCCAAACAATAACACTTTTGAAATACCCAACATTCACTTTGGTGTTAAGGAGAAAGGTTGACGTGTGAGAATCTGTTCTGCTGTTTTGTGTCATAACTCACTGCATCCCATGGAAAATGTTTGTCTAGCTTGTCAACCATTCCTCATTTCAGTCCACAGGAAAAATGAGACAATGTTTCATCATCTCACAACTGTTGTAGAAAATGTAGACATTTCTCAATATCAATTGTTATTTGTGGAGCTTGAACAAGCATGACACACCCTCAGGAAGTACCTCCTTTTACTTAAGTAATGCAAGAGGAATGAGCAAACATTTCCAGCATAACACCCATCTCCATGAGCTAAAACATTTACACACTGTGTTGTAGGAGGCTGAAGAAAAAAATAAATCTAATCTTTCACTGGGCTAAAGCAACCAGGAACGTTGAGTGTGGATTCATTTACAAATTAACATGTTGAGTCAACAACTTTGGGGATATTAGGTAGTGACATTTTTCTTCTCATTCAGGCATTTTACAAAGTACTAATGTTCGATACGATTGACCCTGTTTTCCCTTGTGTGTGTGTGTGTGTGTGTGTGTGTGTGTGTGTGTGTGTGCGTTTTCCCTCACAGATGGAGAGTATCTGACATTTACACGATATGAGCCCATTGGAGTTTGTGGACAAATTATTCCTGTGAGTATAACCCTTCCTTAAAGTTACATGTTGAACACAAATCTCTTTGGGTAAAACAAAACAGACAACAATTAATTGGTTCAGTGTGGTTCTGTTGAATTAGATTCTGCAATTTCCAGTAATTCTACGACACTCAATGTTGAGTGTAAATACTGCTGGTAACACCCAAAGGTTACGGGTCTGTGAGTTTGACTAATAGGGATCGAGAGGTGATATAGTGGGCTTGAGTAAAGTTGAATAGGGAGAAGGCAAAGGGAAAAGATCAAGGGGAGAGAGACACTGTTGATTGTTCGAGCATTCGTTGAGCCCCATGGGCTCCTGTGCAAAGCAGAAATAACACAGGGCCCTGTTTTGTACAGTGATATGGGTCTGTTGCACATGTGTTGCAATACCCCGGCTTTCTCAGAACACTGTGGGAAGAGAAAATAACGTACGAGTAGTGCCGAGAACATTTTCTCACTTGACTATGTTTAAACAGAGGGAAAACGAGAGTGACTTAAGAGCGATGAGTTATAACATGTGACCACCCAGTGTGTCTGTCAGATGATGATCATTTTTTAAAACCGTGTGTGTGTGTGTGTGTGTGTGTGTGTGTGTGTGTGTGTGCGTGTGTGTGTGTGTGGGGGGGGTCTGTTACGCACAGTGGAACTTCCCTCTGATGATGACGGCATGGAAGCTGGGTCCAGCGATCGCATGTGGAAACACTGTTGTGCTTAAACCTGCTGAGCAAACACCCCTCACCTGCCTCCACATAGCAGCTCTCATCAAGGAGGTAAATGATCTTTGTGCCAACTACCACACATTTGTTTACATGGCGGTTTGCCACGATCTTATTCGGGTAGTCCAACGGTAATATTCAAGTAACTAAATGCAAACCGCTGACAGGCCAGTTTGCCAAGCACACAGTATTCACCGTGAATCTGGCCAACACTGTATTTGGATAATCCAACATTAGTGTAACCACGAGTCGACAAAGAACAGATGTTTGACAAAGTGTCTCTCCTCAACACGGAACATCTCTTTAGAGTCTGTAATACTATAATTTTACACCCCGAGATTAAAAGGTACAAATCACAAATAAATTCATAAATTCATTTCGTCCCTTGCTCCTAGTGGTATATAGCAAAGCAGATTTTGATTTAATTAGCTAAATTGTTGATATTTTCATCTGTGAGAGTTTCCTGCTCCCCCCCGTACAACAATAGACAAATAGAATTTTGTTTGTGGTGTTTAAAAATTGCAACATTTCATGTGTTTGATGAAACAATGCTCTGGTTGCTCAGGATAATTCAAACCCCTCTGTGAACATTTCTAATAATAATTGTTTAGTACATTCACCAATAAATATGTGTCTCAAGCTTATTAAAAAACTGCAGAAAGCCACATAAACAACTATAATGTTATTACTGTTACAAATAGTTGGCAATAACCTATTGTGCTGCATTTACGTCATATCGTTTAAACCACAAAAGCAAGCTGCCAAGTTGGGAGAAAATAAAGTAAAATATAATGTGGGAAAAATCTTTTAACAAGCTTCTTAGTCAGTGACAAATCTATAATCCGTTTAGAATCAGCAGTATGCAGCTAGGCTTGGGAAACTAGCAAGAGTACCCCAGTTTTTAAAAGTATTCAACCGAGAAACGCAGCCCATTGTTTCCAACTCCTTTCCAAATGAAGAAGGAAGCAGCACCAGCTCCAACAGATGCAGAATCCATCATAAAAGTGCCCAAGACTGACAACACTGACAGTCTGTCCCTTTAAGGTAGACAGGTAGACTGGTTTTAATGTAGATAGGTAGACTGGACTGGTTTTAAGGTAAACAGGTAGATTGGACTGGTTTCAAGGTAGACAGGTAGACTAGTTTTAATGTAGACAGGTCGACTGGACTGGTTTTAAGGTAGACAGGTAGTCTGGCCTGGTTTTAATATAGACAGGTAGACTGGACTGGTTTCAAGGTAGACAGGTAGACTAGTTTTAATGTAGACAGGTAGACTGGACTGGTTTTAATGTAGACAGGTAGACTGGACTGGTTTTAAGGTAGACAGATAGACTGGCCTGGTTTTAATGTAGACAGGTAGACTGGACTGGTTTCAAGGTAGACAGGTAGACTAGTTTTAATGTAGACAGGTAGACTGGACTGGTTTTAAGGTAGACAGATAGACTGGCCTGGTTTTAATGTAGACAGGTAGACTGGACTGGTTTCAAGATAGACAGGTAGACTTGTTTTAATGTAGACTGGTTTTAATGTAGACAGGTATACTGGTTTTAATGTAGACAGGTAGACTGGTTTTAAGGTAGACAGGTAGACTGGTTTTAAGGTAGACAGGAAGACTGGTTTTAATGTAGACAGGTAGACTAGTTTTAAGTAGACAGGTAGACTGGTTTTAAGGTAGACAGGAAGACTGGTTTTAATGTAGACAGGTAGACTGGTTTTAAGGTAGACAGGAAGACTGGTTTTAATGTAGACTGGTTTTAAGCTAGACAGGAAGACTGGTTTTAATGTAGACAGGTAGACTGATTTTAAGGTAGATAGGTAGACTGGTTTCAAAGTAGACTGTTTTAATGTAGACAGGTAGACTTGTTTTAATGTAGGCAGGTACACTGGTTTTAAGGTAGACGGGTAGCCTGTCCACCTATTCATATGTCTGTCCAAATTAAATGATTGGATAGGATAGGCTCTCAATCTCAACACACACATTTTTTAAAAAATGTAATTTGTCGGAGCATGTGATTTCTGTCAGGGTGTAAAGAACATTACCAACAGGTTACCAACCCTACCTGTATAGCCCATAGGACATTGAATGTCAGCGCAGACAAACTACACAAGAGCATTTACAAAAAAATGTATTTACAAAGACAGTCAAGTCAACATGGTTAAATATGACGAATTTGGGTATGCTATGAACCCACATCCAAAAAACGGTATAGCAATGCACTTTATCATCAATGGCTGTGGCAACAGGGATAGCCAGTTGTGTTTAATACCAGCAAACAATGCAGCCTCTCACCATTGCAGAAAAACCTAATCACACTGTACAAATCTGTGTCCACATCCCCCCTCTCGCCCCCTGCCCTCTTTCTGGAGACTATCTGTCTGTCGCCTTCGTCTTTTTGATTTTTCTCTCCATTCTCTGCCGGTAGGGAGGTTGGGTTGGGTCCGGATTCCCCCACACCGCCTGTAGTTTTGCTTGGCTCTGCTGTCATCTTCGCTAAAGCTTGTTTCCTCTCATATTGTTTTGACAGGCCGGGTTTCCACCAGGAGTCATCAATATTTTGCCAGGATTTGGGCCAACGGCAGGAGCTGCGATTGCTTCGCACATGGGCATAGACAAAGTGGCTTTCACGGGATCAACTGAGGTACTTTTCTCTATTAACAACGTCTCAGATCAACCGCTGCACTACCGCTCTCTTTTGTCAGCACAAGTGACACAGTGACCAACATGTGCAGAGCATAATAGCAGGCTGGGTAATTGGGGCCCTGTTTTGAAGTCTAGATGACAAACAAATGGGGTCTTACGCTTGCCGCCCTGTCATTACTACTCATGAAAGGGAACTCTGATTTTATCTGGCACACATGCACATATTTGCGCTGTCTACAGTAGACAAACACATCTCTGTGAAAACACCGCCTCTCTTTCCCCTCTGCTCTCTCTTTCAATGAAATGATTATCAGGAAAACCCCCAGTAACTTTACAAAACAGGGCGCTGCTAATGAAGAAACCATGTAGGTGTGGAGCGGTTGGAGGCGTTGAGGTCTGAACGCATTTGAAAAGGCCGGAGGACAAAAGCAGATTATTTACTGCAGATCATTTATAACCATTAGTTATTTGAAACTGCGAACTAAACTTAATGATAGAGCTAGACAGCAACACTAATGAACAATGTATGTTTTTGCTGCGTCCATCAGTACACGCGTGTATCTTTGGTTTCGGTTCAAGCAATGTTTAAATTAGCTTAGACAGCATGATAACAAATATTTATTCAGCTGTAGTGTTGCGTTTTTCTGATTATCCATCACAGAACAAGCATTTTCCTATCCCTTTCTGTCACACACACACTGACACACCCAATCAGCGAGTGCACGCTACCTCACATAAATGCACCTTCTAACCCAAACCTCTCCTTTGTTTTATCACCTTGTCTTGATTGAACGTTTCCTTTGTGAGCGGCCCTGTTCTTTCATACTGTTTTTCCTGGAGTTTCATGTGATCTGGAGTCAATTACTGAGAGAAAATTCTGAGCTGTAAGAGACTACTGATGCCCAGACAGTGAGTCACCATGCTGTAGTAGCAGGGGGAGGAGGGGGTGCCTGGGGGGGAGGAGGGTACTGACCATCACACCATCTCTCCACAGGGTGGAGGCTGGGGGTTAAGCTACAGGTGGATTTTAGGATCACTAGCCATCCTCATACTGATTCACATTTTGAGGAGTCTTGCACCCTCGTATGCTTCTTTTTCCCCCGATTAAACACAAACTACCCTCCCTTAGTCAGCTGCTTTGTGTCTCCCTTCAAAGACACACACACAACACGTCAGAATATTGAAGCCAAGCCAAGTATTGTGTTGTTTTGCTTCGCTTCAAGCCACAGCCCAGCATTTGATACTGTTGCAGTCTCTGGTTTTCCATTATATCTCAGTCTATTAAAGCACCTCTGGCACACTGAGAGAAGATGAGTCGTTTCAATGCTGGAGGTGAGGCTTTATCAAAAAAAAGAGGGGATTTTTCCGCTTTATCTTGTTGGTTTCTTTGGAAATGAAAACTGACTGTGTGAGTAAGAGGAAGATGACTACTTGTTTGGGGTGTAAGGTTTGCAAGGAGGTGTGGGCAGTTTCTCAGGCTTCTAATCTTTTGAGAGGATATAATAACATTGACAAAATATCAGTTAAAGCAGCTGATTTGACACAGTAGAAACTCTATAACAACCATTTTGACAGAGAAAATATCTGTCATGATAATTAAATAAATTATGAAAAAATCAGTATAGGATGTATGAAGGCTACGTCATCAATACAATTACTAATTCTCAAAGGGAATAGTTTGACAAAAAATAAGGAAACACAAAAGATGAGAAGATTGACGCCACTCATGATTGTGTGAACCTCGTGTTTGTGTCACTTTTGTGTCACATTAGCATTGTAAGACAAATAGATGCAGATTGGTTGTTCACTGTGATTAGCCAACATTAATCATCTTTATCACAAGGAAAAAAAAAAAAAAAAAAAAAAAAAAAAAATATATATATATATATATATGTATATATATACACTTGGTTAGAGCAGAAAAATCAGTACCATGTATTTTCCTCTGAAGATGAGTTTACATTATCCTTATCAAGAAATCCTGCTCTGCAAATTATTATTTATTTTAAAGAAAGAAGGCTTCCCTCGCTGACATATTGATGCACCAGATTCATTTCATACCACCCTCAGGTAGTTAATTCACCACCCTTGTGGTTGCTTCTTCCTGCCAGTCAGTAGACATCACATGAAACATCAAACTTTCCTATTACTGTCGCCAAAAACCTGAAACAGATATTCAGTCGGTCTGTTTGCAGACATAATGTTTCAGCGGGCCATCCGGTGCATTCCCTGTTTGGAGCTAACCAACCTCTCTAAAATATTTAATGACTCCAGCTGATTTACTGGTGTGATCTGGCTACGGGTCTGCATTTCCGTTAGTAAACTCCAGATCCGTTTCCTTTGCAAGGTCGGCAAGCTGATCCAAGAGGCAGCTGGGAAGAGTAACCTGAAGAGAGTGACGCTGGAGCTGGGAGGAAAGAGTCCAAACATCATCTTTGCAGACGCTGATTGTGAGTTTTCAATTGTGTTGTATTCAGTGTTCCGGGCAGCCTCACTAGGTGGTCTGTCACTATCACTATTTCGTGTCCCATTCTCAGGACCTCTAGTCTGTGGATAAACACACATCGGCTGAGATCTTTTTTTTAATACTCAGAAGCTTTGTAGTGCTATGAAAACCTGTGGATAGATGGGTTTCATATGAATTCTAAGTGGCTCACCAAACTGGGGGTGCCGAGGCTTTCAAATGCTTTCAGCAGTCGCGAGAGGGGCTCCCTAAGGCCTGTAAATCAGGAGAATGGACCCCGACTCAGTCGGGTGCTTCAGTCGAGACCCATAAATCACAGGGGTCGGTTAACCCTTTGTGCACAACAGCAGGGTCACATCTCTCAGGTGTCAGGTATCAGATTTGTGCAGGAAATCTCCCAAAAATATTGGGGAACATTTTGTATGAATATATTACTATTCACATTATACTATTTGGTTTACAATACAATTTGCTATATGCAACCAATTTATCTACATTTACATTAACAAAAATGTGTTTTCCTGCAGTGGACCTGGCTGTTGAACAGGCCCATCAGGGAGTGTTTTTTAACGCGGGCCAGTGCTGCACAGCAGGCTCCCGCATCTTTGTGGAGGAGTCCATCTACGACGAGTTTGTTCGGAGGAGTGTGGAGAGAGCCAAGCGGAGGATCGTCGGCAGCCCCTTTGATCCAACAACTGAGCAGGGTCCTCAGGTGAGGCCAACAGATCCGCCGCTATATTTCCCTTTTTTCTTGAACTGGCAAAATGTGGGTTTCTCTGTCATGTAATGTCTGTCCTCCACCTCCACAGATCAGCCGGGAGCAGCAGAATCGAGTGTTGGGGTTCATCCAGAGCGGCATCAGTGAAGGGGCCAAGATGGAGTGTGGAGGCAAAGCTCTGGGCTTGAAAGGGTTCTTTGTTGAGCCCACTGTTTTCTCTAATGTGAGGGATGACATGCTGATCGCCAGAGAGGAGGTACGATGATGAAGAGCTGGGATTTGGAACTCCAGCGCATCTAAAGCATGAGTAGCTGTGTGAAAAGGAGTGTTGTCTGATTAGAAGTAAAAGTATTAACATCACAATATTGGAATAATCCATTAAAGTCAAAGTAACATTATAAAAACTTTACTCAAGTCACAGTAATAAAGTGACAAAATACAAAGCTAATTTTAAGAAAATTTGTTTTTGTGTGCACACACAGCAAAAACACAATATCCTGTGATAACCTTACAATTTATTATCAAAAGTAAAGTTCTCACTGTTAGGAAATATTCCCTTCACTTGTTATAGGATCATATTTATTAAATTATTATAATGTGTATTGATACATTCAAATATAAGCAACAGTTACTGTCCTAGCTGGTCACAGTGGAGCTATTTTTAACCATTTTATGAAAAAGATACTTCCGTATAGTTTTTCTGTTCTTAATTAAATGTTATCTTCCCCTTTGTGAAGAATACATGCTGTATGGAATTTTAGCGGAAGATTATTTGTAGTACCTCCACTCTTTAACCCTTCATACTTATTTATATGTGACCAGTAATTAAAAAAAAGACAATACAGACCAAACAGTGAAGTAAACAAACCTGTATATTACTGTCTTTTACAGATTTTTGGTCCAGTCCAGCTGATCATGAAGTTCAAAACTGTGGATGAAGTGATAGAAAGAGCCAACAACACAGATTATGGTTTGGTTGCGGCTGTGTTCACTAACAACATTAACAAAGCCATGACCATAACCACAGCCATGCAGGCTGGCACTGTCTGGTAGGTTCCATCTTCTGTGTTTCTTTAGCTTTAATCAGTAATATGTGGGAACAACTATGATAGTCACTGTCGTCCAGAAACCATAGACTGGCATTGTGCAACTTTATTATGATTACACAAGCCACAAAGAAATGCTTTCTTTCGTCAGTCTTTATGTTAGAAATAGACAAACGGACAACTTTCTGCTGTGTTTACTAAACAATAATGGAATCTTACTGGTAAATCCAGGGGGTTTCAAGAAAAAACTTTGAATCCTTTTTCAAGTCAATGCAGGAAAATGATGCAATATTTTACAATATCCGATGCACAAGAGTGATCAATGTTTTATGTTTTCCCAGGATAAACTGCTTCAATGCTCTGAGCACGCAGTGTCCATTTGGAGGATATAAAATGTCTGGCAATGGCCGTGAATTGTAAGTATAACTTCCTGCCCACGGAGTGTACAGCACCAGTCATTCTCAGAAAGTGTGTCCAAAGTTTTGACTGTAACTGTACACAAATTAACCACAATGTTACTATTACCGACTTTCTGTTTTGAATACCTACCTTCCAAAGTCGCTTAACATGTCATAAATCTTAACGTAAGAGGATATTGCAATATTTCCAGCGGTGTATACACTGTCCGATGCTGCTGTGAGCATGACACTTTCAACAAAATGAGTAATAATGTTTCAATTGTCTGTTCCCAGGGGAGAAAGCGGTTTGAAAGAGTACTCAGAAGTGAAGACCATCACGATGAAGCTGCTCGCCAAGAACTCATAGGAAGCCACGTTTTTTGGGGGGGAAGGAGGTAGTGTCTTCCTCATCACCGACCTGTCTCTCATCAGTCCGTTCACAGTGGCAAACCATGTAAACCGTCAAATAAAAGTTATCTCCACGGTAACTACGCAGGCCTGTGACCACTCGCTGCCCTCCCAGTCCCTCCATCCACGCCGCATTGCTCGCCACGGACAGTCAGCCTGTCGCTGTTTAGCTATCCCTGCCTACCTGACAACCACTGAACGTCCCCCACAATGTAAATGTCCTCCACTAACTACACTAGAGCACTCACAGAGACGACGGGGGGGGGGGCGCTCTGACCGCAAAGCCCAATAACAACCGCCCCGCCAGCCGCTGCACCCTGATTCTCACCCACCGCCAGATGCTGGATGCTCAGAGACTCAGTCACCGCACTTGAAATTAACCCTTTACTAGCAACTTGTCATGCGTTGGATGGAAGTTTCTTTTTGTACTGTGCGGTGTGATCGTCAAAAAACCCTTGTGTCATTTTCTTGTGGAATTTATGGAAGCATGTCAGCTCATTCAAGACCACTGATATTTTCACCCTCAGATATGAATGGATGAAATGTTCATTCAGAATTAAAATGCATTTCTAATTGTCTTTGTTTATATTTTAGCTTGTATGACTTAACACTGTATGTCAATCTTTGACTGATGTAAACGGGAAGAGTTTAACCTCTTAAAAGCATTTTACTCTGCTAAAAGAGGAGTAGTAATGTATTTTAAACATTATGTAACAGATTTTCATTGATGTTCATCTATGTTTATGTTTATACAATCATATGCTATAAAACTATAAAATGATAATAGTTTTTCTTTTCAGGAAACTTGTTGTGTTCACTACATTATTGGGACTTAGTTATATAATTATTGTATTCATTCATCTCTTTTGGAAATAAATTGGTCCAAAGAGAGGATTCCATTGATGAAATACATACCTAAATAGATAAATGGTAATATATTATTATACAATGTTCAGCTCTAATACTAAGACTGCCTTTTCACAGAAGGCATTTTACATGTAACTGAAAATATGCTGGTGTAGATAATGAAATTGACGGTGGCCGAATTCCATTTAGCTTCAGGTGCAGGATCCTGGTGTCATTAATGGTATTAGTAACCTTAGTAAGCCTGTGCTTTTCCTACCATGAAATGCTAATACAGCACATACCATTATAATTACAGAGAGGTCAAAACAGCAATAAATAAACAATAATACTGATTCAAACCTAATGATGTAACACATCAGATACTTTTAGAAACATGTAAATTGCTTAAAGGGGCAGGCGGGAGGGGGGGGGGGGGGATGAGCAACTCGCAAAGCCGGAAGTTTCCTAAAACCTTCTGACGTTTACATTTATGACCTTTTGACCTTGTTACCTAACCCAGGGTGGTGTGGTGGTTAGCACCGTCGCCTCACAGCAAGAAACGTCCTGGTTTCGACTTGACCCAGTGGCCTTTCTGTGTGGAGTCTGCATGTTCTCCCCGTGTCTGCGTGGCTTCTCTCCGGCTTCCTCCCACAATCCAAAGACGTGCTGTGGGGATTCGGTTGATTGGTGACTCTAAATTGCCCGTAGGTGTGTGGATGTGAGTGTGAATGTTTGGATGTCTCTGTATAGCCCTGCGACTGGATGTGTAGACCCCGTCTCTCCCAATGTTGGCTGAGAGAAAGAGAATAAAAAATGTGATCATTGATCACAAAGATATGTTTTACCATACAAGGAACTGTAGTTCAATGCAATTGAACCATAATTAATTATTGGTTCTTTCTTCCTGTCTCAAAATGCATTGCAAAAGTAGTAGAACGCCAATTCTTTTCCAAAAAATGTGGATTTCAAATGGAAAAAAAATGTAAGCTTACAGCTGTTAAAATTAAACTACAGCGGTAACAGTAAAAAAAAACTCTTCTTCCGTATGTTGTAACAAAAGATCAAGCGGAACAATGGCTCATCCACACAAACAATAGTTTATTAACACATGCGCATGCACTGTTACATTAATCTATTGCCACCTTAAAAGATAGCGGTGAGGACGTGTGTCAGTTGCGCGTGACTACAACTACAGAAACATGAGTCTGGTTTGTGTTGGTATGATGCTGCACTGAAGCCTGTCTTTGGCTAACAGCATTTAAATGATCAACGTACGTTTTCCCACATTTCCCATTCCACTTAGTATCTGCATTCTTTCCAAAGAGAAAATGAAAACAGTGTGCGCTTATTGTAGCACTCTGTTAACACAACAGGAAGTATCAGTGCAGACCATGAGCAAACACTCTCAAGTTAAAAGTGCAGCCATGAAACTTTATATGTCTTCTAGCAAGATAACTAATAAAATAAGGCTGGGTCTCACAACGCAAAGTACACGATAAATTAAAGAGTCATATAATTGCATCCCCTCTCAATTGTAATATATCTATTTTGGCTTTTAATGTCTTAACACCTCCTTTATTTTTCCACATTTTATTCACGAAAACACATCAGAGAACATATCAACTGAAACATTACTCATAAGAAAGTCTTTAAAAGCATTATAATACAGAATTATATTCAAAACACAACTTTAAGACCACATTATCAGCATGTATTGGTTTGCCTTGTGGATTCCTGTTTCAGTGCTGTAGACACTGTCTATAAATCTACACGTAAATCTAAAATGAGATGAAAAAGATTACTAAAAAAATAAATAATGACAGACCAACATCTCATGAGAACCTTTTTAGAAAGCTTTATTCTCTCTGTATGTACAAGCATAACCTGAAGTCAAGGACATCCGCTTGGAAACATACCACATACACGCTAACAGGGACGTTCTCCCTTTGTCCAGATGGATCCTTTTCCTTCAAAAGCCACGTTTATACCTTCTGTTAACATTGCAGCAATGCAGTGCTGCCGTTCCCGCTATGTTGTTACTGTGTCTGGTTTATCGTGTGTGTTGTTTGGTCCCCTTCATTTGTCACTAAAGGGGGATTTGCTGTCTTGTTTGTTTTGCTGAGATTTTTTACCGACATGTATCAAAGCACACGCGTGCATGTTGAGCAAGCGTATCTGTACGTAACTCTCATTCCAGTGTAGTGCGAGCAGATACTGCTCCACACAGCGATGCTGTGACAATGTCTGCATGGATTAAGATGAAAAGGCCGCTCAATGTCACAGAAAATAACAGCTTTCTAAATCTGGTGAACTTAATGTTAAGCGAGAAAAACAAAGATAAAGATACATTTCTGTGAAAAAAATGCATCACGAGTTTATTCCAAGACAATAAGTGCAACTTAAAAGACTTCCAATTGTTTCATCCTCTCTGTCAGCATGACTGAAGGTCAATCAGTTGATCCACCACTTTGCTCCAAACCGGAATATTTCAACATCGCTGGATTGGTACATCAGCTTGTACAAACATTCATTTCCACATATATCAAATAGGCTTTCGTAACTTATTCTTTAGCAAAACATTCATTTTCACGGTTAAATATTAAAACAACCATCAGGTGGATTGCATTACATTTGGTACAGACATTCAATGGGTTATCACATTATGGACAGAATGGAGATTGAGGGATTTTTGTCCCTTCTTTCCAAATTCACAGTATGATGAGAATCTTCACAGTGGTTATGGAGAGGAGGAATAATGAGAGCTAATTGGAACTCTGTCAACATACATTTGAAAAGTGCAATACAAATTATTTAAATGACTCATCTGAAGTCAATTACAAGTAATTAAAGTAGGAATAGAGCTATAAACGTTTTCATTTTCAACAGTGGTTTGCCTCTGCCTTCTACTCCGCTGCATTGGTAATTCTCTTCACCAACTAATCGGGATGTGCGTACCTGAATACAGGCGGCACACACCTGACTCCTTTCCGTTCTTCCCCAAATGGCAATTTGCCCACTGTCCGCCTACTTCCTCAGGAGGAGTTTGCTGTCTCCACAGCACCTGTTGAAGGGAATACCGCTGGGAAGAGTGACCTCCTTTGTCACACTTTTCACTTCAAAATGGAAGCGGATCCGTTTCAACCAACGCAACACCCACTGCTCACAATGGTTCTACGTGGCACAGCAGGACAATCCATTGTTTTGTTTAGATAATTTGTACACTGCCATGGTCAAGAAAGCCGCATTACACCTTGATGCCGCTCTGCTCATCCCTCTCCTGTTGGAGGAAGTCGGGAGTAGTTGTTGGTCCCTCTGGTAGCTCCAGAATGTAAGCTCAGCTGATCCTCTATAGTTCAGGCGAGCTTTTTCTCATGAAGTGCAATAAGCACATGGGCTACTTTGGGCCATCCCTTCCAAACTTCACTCCCAAGAGGGAGAGGCTGAAAGGGACTGCATGTACAGTTAGTGCCTGCAATTCATGTCACACACCATTACCAGTTACATTATTACATTACAGGTCATTTAGTTGACACTTTTATCCAAAGCAACTTACATTGCATTTTTAACCCATGGCTTTTTACATTTTTGCCCAAGGAGCAATTAAGGGTTAATTGTCTCGCTCAGGGACACTTTGACATGGGGCAGGTGGGACTTGAACCCCCAACCTTGCGGCTCCCAGCACACCCTTTCCACCTCAGCGCCACGACGACCAGTTACAAGTTAGGTTGCATGCCGTGTCGATTTCAAAGATTGGTCTTCAACCACTTAATCGCGAAGAGGTCTTTGCAGGACATCCAAAGACAGCGGCTGATGTCCTACAACCCCCCTAACCTGCATGGGGACCCGACATTATGTTGAAATCACTTCCCCATTCAGATGCACTGAACACCAGTTTTTGTGCACGGAGTGGCCGATCAAGCTCTATTCAAGAATTGCTCGGCGTCAAGGCTTTGCGAGTGTCTTTCTCAAGCCTACAGGCACATTTAAAGAGACCCTCCCTCTGCCTTCCACAATATTGTAACGCTACTATGAACACAGGCAGAGCCCTGTGGGAAGGGGGTGGTTATACTGCTACGAAACTTTCTGAAGAGGGTGTCGGATGGAAGATTTTGGTGTGTGGTGGTTTATTCTGTGGGGTCCTTATGCATGCTCCTCATACAAAGAGACCGTTGCCCATAGAGGCCAGTAGAGGGCTCCGTCTGGGTTTAAGAACAAGGGTTAAGACACCGTAACCTCATTGTGTTTCTAAGGGAACACGTGTAAGACCAACACCCCGCCCCCTGCCCCCTCTACCCCAAAGGGGTTATACAATGTTTTGGAATGAAACTCTTCAAATGTAATTGTTGCAGGCAAGGTTAGGGTCAAGTGTTGGTTGGGAAATGAGAGCTGGGTCTCTGACAAGAAGCACATGACGATAATCAACTTTCATATATCAGTGTCCTGCGTTGTTAGTAGGCAGAGTCAAACCTGCTTAACCTGAAGAAGGTTTGAGAAGCTGGTTTGCTGTATTGGGGAATTAACTGTGCCTGCTGAACATGTAACATACCGAGTCCTTATTTTTTTCATGTCCTGTGAGCAATGCACTGAATGTCAAAATAAAAATAATCACAAGACCATTCTTGTACAGAAAAGAAACAGTGAGAGTTTTTGAGAATGAAAGGATAGTGATTCCATGTCACGTTTACGTCTACGTGATTAATAAGTCACTAACACCTCCAGTTTAATTTTTCACATAAAGCATATTTTACATTAAGAAGAGATATCCTTAAAGACTGGTCAAGTCGTTATGGGATGATAATATATTGGATGATTTAAGCAGTGCCTTGGAATTACTCCAAGGTTAAGTGGTAATCCCATATCAATCATCACTTGAGCCCCAATACAAATGACCTGGACTATGTATTTATTGGAAGGTGCACTTATGGAGCTTGATAAGTATCATTCACTAGCCATTGCCCTATGCTCAGAAAGATGATCTATGGGACCCGTTTGCATGCTAATCTCTCCCCATGCTCAATAGCTTCACAGGTTCCATTTTTCCGCACGGT